TCCGTTCGGAGCAAACGAATACACATGAATTATGAAAAACGTATATTTCTCATTTTACTTTGTTGGAAAAAAGTCTTCCAACAAATGTCAGACAACCGCCATCATGAACAACAACTCCTCTATGGGCCCATAAATAAACAGATAACATTTATTTTCAGGAGGTGCTGGAGTCCAAAAATAGTGGAATGTTACTCTTAAATAAGTATAATGACCACCAACAGAACTGTAAACGTAGCCTATTTTTGTCAGGTGTCTTTTAAATGCGCAAATACCATAGAAAGAAAAGTGCTGGCCATGTTTTCCGCTTTCCTCACAGAGTCAGGCCGCCCTGACTGGAGGCTGTTACAGATTGGCAAAGAAGCCGCGTGAAGGAGATGATTACTTATCTGTTATTTCATTTGTTCAGTGGAGGTGTTTCTGTGACCAGATTCATCTAAAGTCTCCCGATCAGGCTTCCTCTCAGGGCCGTTTGCCGGTTAAGACGTGGGACAAGCGAGGCGCCCTTTAGGCTTTTGTCCTTTTCGGGGGCGGGCGGAGTGAGTCGTCTGGTTCCTTTGGATCGCCCGCACCGCGAAACCGCCGAGCGCTTTTGATAATGACCGAGGGACCTCACGGACGAGGCTGAGGCAATTGAAACGGGTTCAGTCGCCTTCGCGCCGTCGCGGGAGAGTCAAGGCAGTCGTGACCCCGCCGCGCTGGTGTCACGGAGCGGTCTCACCCCCATTTGTCAGACGCCTCGGTGACCCGGCGCACGGTCGCAGCATTTGGTTTAAGACGGGAATTCAAACGAAACTGCAACAAAACCAGGAAAAGAAACACGGGTTTAAAATAACAACATTTTGCACAAAAATCGGTAAGCGGTTGAAAATTGATTTCCTTGATTGATTCATGCGTGACATCACTCCCCTGTGAGGGGCTTTTGAAATGAAATGTGGGGAAATATGTAACGGCTGGCAGCTCTCTCGGCCCGCTAACCAGATTTTTAACGTTAACGAGTCGACACTGCCGACCTGTCAAATTAACCGCTTCCATCCTTCCATCTCGACGTAAGACAAAATCAGATGTTGTATGAACTCGGTGTCAGATCTCCTCTCAGTCGCTACTCACATCTCGACTCAACGTTTAGTCCCATGAATCCCGTGTCTCGTTTGTCTCTCAGAAGTCGTCACGTGAAGCTCAGAGCGGCGGACCGTCGCATCACCAGCACTTGACCAGCTTGCGGTGAGAATGCGCTGCCTCTTCACATCGCTCCACCACCTCCACCGACACACTCCACCATCTTCCATGGCCCTAATGGTTCGCTAGGTTATGCTGCTGTTACATTGATTTGAATGTATTGTACATCTTTCACATTGTTTATTGTGCGCACATGACATTGTAGAGGGATCCATCCTCTGACGTTCTCCTTTCTTTCCCCCACGGAAGTGCTTTCATTTTTTCCTGTGCGGATGTGAAGGTTTCGGGACAGAGGATGTCGCATGCGTACAGACTGTAAAGCCCTCTAAGGCAAATTTGGGATTTGGGATTTTGGGCTAAACTAAATGAAATGAATTGAGTTGAATGGCTGAGTGGGGTGTGCCGACCTCTGACCTCTCCTGTGTCCATCCCTGAGTCAATGTGTGTGAGCTACCCTTTGGACCGTGTCATTATATCTCCAAAATGTGAGCTCCGACAAAACCACTGTGCTGCATTTGCATCGATTCAGCAGAAATTCCTATTAAAGGCTAGAGTGGTAATTTATAAAACTGCTGTCTCCAGTAGTTTAAGTGGAAAAAAGGGAGCGTTGCTTTTGTAATTATAAAACTGTTGTATCACCAGTGAATATTTACAGTTTCTTGCAGACAGTATTTACAAGATAGGCCACATTGTTCGGGGGAGAGAAATGTCAAGATTTTCTTCATTATGGTACAGAGACGGACTGCAACAACAGTGAGCAAACACAGACATGAACTGTTAAATATCTGTGTACATGTGTAAGTGACCCATAGGACTCCTGCATAAACCCCCCAACAGACGCCACTGACTTTCCAATGTGAGGGAGATGACATTCAGGCAAAGAGAAAGCACAGTTTATCCATTTCAAGACGCTTCACTTTCCATTATGTCGCGTTAAGAACCGCAGAATGTTGATCTTCAGAGGATCCCATTGACCTCCACTAGAAGCTAACAGTCCAGTGGCCCTTGATTAAGCACAAATAATAAATGAATAAATAAATGCAATGTTTTGATTTGGTGTGAAGTGGTTTGTTACAATGTGGAACGATACAGTCAACGTGTGAAAAAGGATTACAACAATGTCCCCAGTTTGACTGAGAAATTGCAGCAAGCTTCTGCAAGTAATTGAGGAAATTGATTTGATTTTTGATGATTATGTTTGCGATTTTAAAATTCCTGCTGGGAGTTCGGCTGAGATCCTGCTCTCATGCTCACATTGTTATTCCCGACAAATTAGTGTTGTGCAACTTTGACCTTTTTGGTAATAAGGCGGATTTGCTGGTTGTCGTCTTGTGATTGGAGGAAAAACATTTGCTTGGCCTTTAATTAAAAAGCAGCTCGCAGTGTACGAGTACCGATAACGGCTACAAACAATGAGCAAAGATCATCAAAAGCTGCAGACTTTTCTCCGTGCAGACATGAGTGTTTGTGTACATATTGATGGAGCTGCATTCTCTCGAAATTGGTCTGTGAGGGATTCACTGCTGCCAGGTTGAGCGGCATCGTGAGAATATTACCTAAACAGAAACAAGAAACTATTCCACCATCAGACGATGAGAGGACGTCTTCTACTTAATGGAACAGGAAGTGGGAGAACAGTTCCAAACATGTGTGAGGAATGGCAGGAAGTCGGTTCTCCGGGACACACAACAGGATGAGGCTGTTCTGGTGTAAAGATGATGATGAAACATGTTGTGTGCTATTCAAACACTAACCTTTTCATATGGTATATAATGAGTGCATGTTGGTGGAGGGGAAACAACAGGGTGTGGGGATTTCTAGCTGTGAGGCAAAAGCTTAAAAATTAAACTATGAGCCTAAATATTAACCCCATTTGGCACAGTTCAAGCTGACAGCAGGATTATCACTCAAACAGAAAGAGAATACCAGTACTTCTACATCATACGGCACCCGGCGGAGAACGTGCTGCTGCTCAGTGGAGAAGAGCGCCCTCTGTGTTGGGTAATACACACGCAAAGACAAAGAGATTATGGTTTACGATGTGTAATAATTCAGATTTTAAAAACAGGGACTACCTGTCAGCTGTGCACAACCCCCATAGGATTCCACTGCGCAGACACTTCTCTTGTAGGTCAGGACAAGTAATTATTCCATAATCCAGCACAGGCCATGATATATTCTAATTAAGCACCGTTAAGGTTTGGCTCGTCAGCGGATTTGCGGCCTCTGAAGTGTTCTACTTCAGAGGCAAAGCAGTTTGTTTTTCAGTTGCAGTTTTTTTACAGTATATATATATATATATAAATAGAACTATTGACCATTTACATAAGAGTATTCCTATCGCTTACAATCAATATGATTGAAAAGATGTGCAGAGACCTTGATCGGTTCTGTCACAGCGGAGGTTACAATTGTATCTCATGTTCTCAAGTGTGTTCTTCATTAAGCGGGGGTGCTGATAGGGGAGCGTTTGATTTGTCTCCCCGCGGCCGTCGGCCGGAGTGATTATCGACAATCATTGAAGCAGCCATGGTGACACCGAGGTGCTCTGAAGCGCACCGGTGCCGCCGTGCCAGGAGATGGAAAGAGGTGTGGAAACCCACAACGAGATGCCGTGAGTTTCCCCACGGGAGCAGTTGAAGGATTCTCCTACAGGCAGATGGCTATCTGCATGACTCCATGTGTGTGTGTGTGTGTCTGGCTTGTGATGCTATCGCATCCTACGAGACACACTTTCACGCTCACAAAGATTAAGTCCCAGAGCTGGAGAGGAAACAGACTGGTGTGTTAAATGGATTTGAACCCTGGCTCAACCACACACACTGATTCTTCGACATGACGTGAACCCAACAGAAGTATCACCGTATTTCCTCTCTTTTCAGGCCATCTTGCTTTTACTAATCAGGTGATGATTTCACGCAACATTTTGTTATTAACAAGATCTCACATTTGGAGATTCTCTACATTTAAGATTAAGAAAGAAAATAGAAGGAATACAGATGCATGAAAACAAATTTCACAAAATGAATTAACACATTACACCAAATAGACCTCAAGAAAGAGAGAAATTCAAAAAATGATACATATCTATATATCTCATATAAGTTGTTGAACCAAACCCTAAAGAATATAGCGATGTTTGTAGAAAACAAAATGTAATCATCCATTTCGAACTTTCTTTCAGAGGGTTTCTTAAAGATCGCTTTTGGTTTTTTCAGAGAGAGATAAAATATGATTCATCGATCTGTAACCGAGCTCCGGTGCGTCCCCGTGACGCCGAACACGCCTAAATGTCTTCCCTTCTCTCATCCATCGCTCCTCCTGATGGCGCGTAGTGGGCGGAGCCACGTGAGGGACGCCTCCTGCGTTGAGCCTCCGCTCTGATCCCTCTGGGACTCTCGCTTCTCCCTTGTGACCGCCTCGTCTGCCGCTGCAGAGCCCTCTGCACCTCCCCCCCCCCCACCCCCCATAAGGCCTCCACCCTTCCCAGGAGCATCATCTTAATTTGGACGGACACACAAACACACACACACACACACACACCTCCAACTCCACTTTCCCTTTTTTTGCCTTTCGGTCCTCTCGCGTTTTCGGGTTTGCCTTCGACATCTTGGCCCACTTCCCTTTCTCTGCTACCGAGAGTGAGCCAAGCTCCCCGGTGCTGAGTGCATCTAGCAGGTGCAGCTTCCTCCCTCCCTCCTCCCTCCCTCCCATCCTTTCTCAGTGACTCTCTCTTTCTCTCTTCCCGTTGCTCCATCAGTGTGCACACTCCACTCCGTCGGGGCCTGCATTTCTCCTCCCCCCCCCCCCCCCTCCTCATTCGTTCCCTGACTCTCGGTGGCGGCAGCTCGGGGAGGCAGCTGTATGTGCGCCTGCATATCAATTGCCACAGGTAAAGACAGCTGCATCGTCGGATGTTGCCGACCCCGCGGGGTGTGTGGGGGGCGGGGGTCGAGGGATGCTTCGATGCTGCTGCGGCTGCAAGTTCTCATCCGAGCTCCCGGAGCACATTTCTAATCAGCTCCAAGAAAGCGTCCTGGAGGGAACGAAGAGCGGAGGATCCCAGCAACCCGACCAACAAATCACAAGCTGACTGAAAGAGCGCAGGCTTTCAGGGACTGAGGGGGGGAGGAAAGGCACTACTCAGAGAGCGAGGAGAGAGAAACAGTGGGATATTTTTATCACTGTGTCCTCCTGTCTGCTTCTTTTATCTCTTTCCATCTCTGTGTTTTTTCTTTTCTGAATTATCTGCATCCATCGCCTGCCGCCCGTCCTCTGCCTCTCTCGTTGCATCCCTCTGTGGCGGAATGTTCTCTGGAAATAGATGAGAGGAGGCTTGGTGCAGTATCAGTGGACGGGATACTGAGACAGCAGGGCGCTGAGCGGACAGTTTGGTGAAATCCGAGCCGGCTGGAGAAGGAGCAGGATCACGTCGCAGATTTATCCGCCCTGCGCGACAACACCCCTAAGTCCTTTCACTCAACCTCTCAGTCCTTGTCTGAGAAAATGGATCAGGAACATTAATTGGATTCTACTGCTGATATTTTCAGCCTGAGTCGAATAAAGAGTGCACATTAAGGAAGCAAAGTGGGTTTGGAACCAAAGAGTGAAAAAAAAAAAGGAGAAGCTGATTGAAAAGCAACGGGCAACACAGACAGCGGATAATCCAAGGAGAGTGTTCGACAGACGCATAAACAGCAGACCTATCCCTCTCCTCCAGTTACGAAAGAGACAGATTTCGGGGTCTGGGGGACGCTGACTCTGCTAAAGCTTTTGGAACAGGCTGCATCGGACAACATCTTTCATTTTTTTCTTGATCCGCCACGGGGCGGGGAGGCAAAAAGACCCTCCCTGCAAGTTCCACTCCCTTCCTCAGAGGACACCGTCCCATCGCGGATGGTGCCTTGTTGGGACGCATTTGAGTAGAAATAGAAAAAGCTGTTCGTTATTTTTACTGCAGCGACATCTGAACGCCGATGCCACGGATTCCTCACACGCGCGGATGTAAAGCGGTTCCTTCTCACCCACCCATCCCTCCTGTCCCCTTCTCTCCCAGTTAGACGCATCACTTCTTCATCTTCTCTCCTGGCTTATCCTGCTGTTAATGTTTTTTAAAGTTCACATTTGGACACCGGGTGTTAGGCGGGACTAAAAACAGACTCAACGGTTGATAATCGGTCCGCGCCAGCGCTCCCGTTTCTCACTGCTGTCTCTGAGGGTGAGTGTGCGTACTTGTGTGTTTGTGAAAGGGTGTGTGCACGTATCTCCTGCGCCCCTCCCTTTCTCTTTATCCCCGGATTACATATTTTTGTGCTTGTTAATAAGTGTCAGATTCCGTTGAAGTGGTTTTGTGTCCGTTCGTTCACCTTTTTTCTCACTGTCCGGCATCGTTGGGAACCTTTCCGCCATGTGCCACCGGTCCTCATCGCAGGGTTAACCCTCAATGAGCCATAAAGGACGGCGGGGAAGGATGAGCGAGTGTTCTGGAGCAGCTGTTTCCGGGGCGGTGATCCTGGAGGAACCTGAGGGTTCGGGGCCCTCAGGGGGGCACGTTGAAGGCCAGGCCCAGGATCAGGGTCCCCTTCGCTGTGCGGTCTGGCCTCGCCAGCAGACATGGCTGTGTGTGGTACCCTTACTTATCGGCTTCATTGGCCTGGGATTGAGCCTCATGCTGCTGAAATGGATTGTTGTTGGCACAGTGCGGGATTACGTGCCAACCGACTTGGTGGATGCTAATCGGATAGGCCAGGATCCTATTTTCCTATCCAAGCCGAGCGGGATTCCCAAAAGTCCTGATACCACCACCACGACAACCACTCCTACAGTCGATGGCGGGAAGCCCACACCTAGAACCGTCACTATCGCGAAGGGTAGAACTCGGTCCACCGCTACTACCACGACTGTAAACCCTCAAGGGAGCGGAGCCTCGGGCAGCCAAGTAACCCCACGGAATCCCGTAAATCGAAATGGACGCGGACCCTCGGGTTTTACCACGACCACCGCCCCCCGACGGACGACCTTCATGATTGGAACGGCAACAGCTAGCCTCTCTCCTTCCAACCCAACCGTGCTCCACGACTCTACGCAGATGTGGACCCTGGAACACACTTCCACTGAGGCGGTGTCCACCACGCTCACCGCCCGCACGCATGGCCACCGCAAAACACGTAAGTCACTCGCGTCAATCGGTGAAGCCTTGTCCCTTCCTCTCATACATTCCCAACGCAGAGTGTGTATTTGTTTGCTGGTTTGAAACATCAGTGGAGAACGACGACACCTTGAGCCTTTGAATGGAGTTGTCGTGAGTTTGTTGACAAATGCCATTCCAAATAAGCTAACTTGAGACTTGAAAAGTGTTCTAATCCACCCGTAAATGGACAATGATGATCGTATACTTTTTTCACCATCTGTGTCCTTGACTCAAGTCATGGAATGCAAACATGCTATCGATTGGTGGACCGATGGTTCTCGCGGCGATCAATGACACTCAGACGCACATCACACACACACACACGTACTACATTCCCACAGCTTCCTCCACGATGGCTCCATCTCATCTCAAAATGGTGCCGCATTACGTGCTGGACATCTTTCTGCTTCTAATGTCCGTGTCTGTGATCCCGGCTCGGGATGGTGGTATAGTGAACAATACGGCGTGCTCTCTGCCGTGTCGCGTGAATCTCACGTTATTAGGCACTTGATGAAAACAGATGGTGCACGCATTCTGACCTTGTCAGAATGCGTCTTGACTTAACAGCTATCTTCAAATTGACATGATGTAACACCACTTAATGTCAGGGGACTTGACCAATTAGAGTACATACAGGCATCTCCTGCATGTTATAAAAGATGCATGCGCTGTATGTTATGAATTCATTTGCATTGACCCAAATGCCTCTGTAGAGGGATTTTAAGCTGCCCATTGTTGCTATTCTCTCATCAGGAAGTCTGTTGCAATGTCTGATACACTAGACGGCTGCAATTTCTCAAATTTGTTATAATTATATGACGGCTGCTATACTGTATATTAAATAATTGATGTACTAAATCATCCCATTCCACCTGCTGTGGCCTCTCTGCTTTCCTGCAAAGGTGCGGCTGTTTCTTTGTGTCTGTGATAATGAAAGTGTCCCCCGATTATACCGGACACCAGGGAATGTTCCCTCTGATAATTAGAGACATGGAGGAAAATTGTGTATCATTTCATTAGCAGGAGGAAATACGGGGGCCATCCATCATCATCTTTTATTAATTAACCATAAAAAAGAATGTAATTTCTTCAGCAAATGCTCATGAAAACCATTACGCTGATAGATATCCAAAAGGAAAATGTCACTCCTCCAGCACGCTCGGGAAAGTTCCTCCACTACAGAATAGACGAGTCTTTGCTAATCCAACCCCCCCCTACACCCCGCCCCCTACACCCCGCCCCCTCTCTATTCTACCGCCCACATGCTGCTTTGATTTGAAGGCCCGATCATTTTGCACAAAAACTATTCATTATGTATGAATGTGTTAACAGTATTACCGAATTGCCTGTGTTTGGCTTGTGCTCGGAAATGGAGACAATTCTATTAATTCAAGTACAGTAGGCCATCTGTGAGCACTTATTGATGTCTCCCTGTCTTATGTGGACACACATCCCACACACTGGAGTCCTCGCTGGTCCATACAGATTGAATATAGAAGCTGGTTTCATATCTTGTAGTTTATTTTCATGGTGCTAAATAATAATTCTGTCTTAATAGTCTGTTGCCGCAACCTCTCAAAAACCATTCCAGCTTCAGCCGTGCTCTTATCTCTTATTCTCTATGGAGACAATGAATGGCACTTTTACCTCCGGAGCCGTGTAGCTTTGGTGGTATTTGGTGACATTGAAGCTTGTCTAGCTGTCAACTACAGGAAGATATCCTGGTCGAGACGTCTTACGCCTGACGCAAATGCCACGTTGGAAACACTTTGATTGACAGGGCTAAATCGTTGGTAACTAACAAAACCTCACAGCCAGCTATCCCCATGGTTTGAGCTGTAAAAATGAGGAGCAGATCTGGGAGAGTTGATACCTCTATGAAGGGGCCAAGTGACCTCTGCACTGCCGGGCAAAATGTCAGGCAATGCCTCAGCGAAATGTGATGTGTGCCCTTATTCCTCAGCGCTCATGAGATTACAACTGTGATGGATAACGCAGTGATGCCACTTATGAACTGAAATGGAAATAATTGGTCACTTGTCAGTTCATGTAATTAACCACTCTGAAACACTTATTTCTAAAATGCTGCATGAGTTATACTTAGAGAGACCTAACATATGGATGACACGACATATCTCTTCTAGAGCATAGCATGTATGTAGAGGAACAATAATACCAGATGAGTAGATCCCAACAACTGTTTATTTCTGGTTGGTTACTGGGACTGTACTTAGTTGTATTACATTGAAAACGCAATTCAACACTGATATTGTCGGGAGATTCCGGTCTGTGATTGTAGATTATTACATTATTTCCGTGTCCGTGCTTCTGAAATGGTTCTGGTGCAGGTGGTCTGAGGTCTTTGTCTCCATGCTGAGCCCCTCAGCGGGATTAGGTTTCATTCAGACACTGGCCCTGAAACCTAAATCCAGATTAACAGCCCATAGCCATGACGGTGGAAGCAACAGAATTACATTAGCCCACCTATCAGTCACACACACTCTGGATGAGCTCACGGGCTGCTGAGGGATCCTTTTGATAGATGGACTGTGGCGGGAAACCTTTTCATTAAATGATGCTAAGATGACATGTTTTCTCCTTCCTGTGTCTAAAGATCCTTCACATACGTTATATTAACAACTCAATCTCACAGAAAGTAGCGCTTATTGCTGCTGTTTGTTTGATGTGGGGAGCTTGTATCTTTTCTTAGTATTTGTGGCATATTATGCATGTATTTTAACCAAATCTCACTCTGAATTACTTGTGATAAAATGTTTTAAAAATGTAGCAGGGGAAGCATAAACTGACTGCCGGACGGATGTTTTATGCTTTTGTTTTACAAGAACAGGCGCTTTGTCATCCCTCCGGGCATCGGTGTGTGTTTTTCTTTGTGAGGATATTTATTCGTCATGATCAGTACATAGCTCAACATCTGCAGAAAGCCAAGATGATCTGGGGAATGATCTTCCAAAATGATTTAAGAGCAAAACCCGTTTTCACAGCAAAATCCAGAGCTTGCTTCATTGTGTCTTTCATTGGAAATCTTAAATGCTCACCGGTTTATTCTTGTTTTTGTCTTTTTCACTGCATCTGCCCCCCAAATTAATTAAAAATCCCCTTGGCTTTCATCACCTCTGGCCAACACTGAGGGCCAGTGTACATTATCGCACTAATCATGTAATGAGGGAGAGAATTTAGCTTTTTAAACAAATGGTAGACTCCGAGTTCTTGGCATTTGGATTAGTTCTCTGTGAGCTGCTTAACACTTTCCCAATTGGGTTTATGTGTGTCCATGCACACACTTACACACACACACACTGGTGTGTCCACAGAAGTACCGGTTTTAGGATGTCTATGTGCAGATTGATGGACTATCCTGTAATAATTGTATTATATTGTTTTTCTGTTCTTTGGCTGACTTTTATGACCTAGTTAGTAATATTTTCAGAATAATTACGAGAGATTAACTGCTCTGAACCCCTAAAAGTCAGAACCACGCGTTTGGAATTGTTTGGTGGGAATTTGCAACTCGTATCCTGTAATATTATCCAATATTATTATATTAATGTTACAGCTTTGTGTTTTATCTTCACACATTCCAACCAGGGCTGATGTTCTGTAGTGACCTTGACACACATCTACAGTGTGGATGGATGAATGAAAGTCCAACCAAAGCACACCCATCCGATGGGTGTTGAACCTTGTGTGTTCTCCTGTTCCACTGGGTTTGAGTGTCAGTATAATTTATAACATTTCTCATCAGTTGTAAAGATCAAGGTTTAAAAAAGGAAAGCGCATGCAGTTTATTTCTGATGCAGCCGTTAACCGATTGCATCAAAAACGTGACACGCCGCTGATTAGAGTTTTAATTTGGGGAAGATGCTGTGAGAATAGATCTTTACATCACTTTGATTCATTCTGATGAAATTTCTTGCAGCGGAGAGAGGGATTAAATATTAATGACGCGAAAGAGAAACATGTTCAATATGTAGCAGGAAGTGTAAATAATTGAAGATGGCCCTTTGACGAATTATCCCACGCTGAGCGGTCGCCCGCGTACCAACGCTGCGTTCGGTGAATTCAGGTGTTCAGGGCCGGCTGGACTGGTGCAAAAGAAGGGGGTTATTTAACAATTGCTTTGTGAGTGCCAAGGTTGAACTTCTCCTTCTGCCCCCCCCCCCGAGCATCCCGGTACAAAGCGCTTAAATGCTGCCTCTAACTTCACAGGGGCTTTGAATAATGAATTCAGGTTTCAGCCGCCTTGATTAGATGAAGCTCGCTCCATTTCACGGGGGGGGGGCCCGTGGGGAGGGAGAGAGGTAGCGGCTTACGAGACGTCAGATTCTGGGATTCACCTGCGACGGATCTCCAGACGCCGCCTGCTAGCTAACCGCTCTCTCAGGTCTTTGTCTCTGGCTGCTGCTGGCGTTCTAGATGAGAGACAACAAAGGCCGCCTCGGCCAAACGCCTTTAGGGTAAAAAAATTAAAATCAGGTTGCTTATATAAGCTGCAGGGGGTGGGGGGGGGGGTTCCCCCTGTGGCCGAACTCATAGTAGTCAACTATTAAGTGTCTCACAGAGGTCAGGCATTCACCATCTAATGTAATAATTAACAATAATTCATTTGCATTCATTGCCGTGTATTTGGCATAATGCAATTTGCAATGCAATTTGTTTTAAATTGAGATCATAACTGTTTTGAGCAGCGATTTTTCCGTATATTCTTTGCTGGGAAAGATTCCATAGCTGAGTTTTTTTTTTTTTTTGTTTCCAAATGTTATGATACATCAGGGAGCATATATAAGAAACACATATTGATTTCTGTGGGTTATTAAATAAGAGAGGTTTCCAAAGAGGAAATAATGTACAGCCCCCCCCCCCTTCGGCTCACACTCTTATTGAATCTGTCAGCTGGCCCACAGCAGCAAACCGTTTAACGCAAGTAAGCAAATACAATATCAAGCTCGTATGAGTTCA